TCATGTTCAAATCCTGGACCCAGTGGCTTGACAATCACACCCTGCACATGTGTGTGCATGCCCAGAATCCCAAGAGGAGAATCAGAGAATCTGTTTCTCTCTTCTCCAGCGAGTGCACACACACTATGGTAAAAATCAAAACCAAAACCAAAACAAAAAAAAAAGGAAAAATTATGTCTAAAATAACAGTAATTTTCATTCTCCATTAAGAATTTTCGGGATCAGCAGTGAGTGTAATGGTTATGTCGCTGGACTCCCATGTAGTCGACCGTGGTTTGAGTCCCAGAGTTGACCATGGTTCGAGTCCCGGACCTGGTGGCTTAAAGCTCACGCTGGGCGCGTGTGTGTGCGTGCCCAAGATCCCCAGAAGAGAATGGAGAAGAAAGGATTGCAGCATGGCCATCTCCCCTCGGGAGTGATTTCTCACTTTCTCTCTGTCTCTGTATTGCGAGTGTACGCGCCCTATAACAAAAACCTCTCCAAAAAAAAGAAAAGAATTTTCTATGGGCTGGCGGGCGGCATGGTGGTTAAGGTGCTGGACTCCCACATGATCAACCACAGTTCAAGTTCCAGATCTGGCAGCTTGTTTTCTCACTTTACCTCTCTCTCTTTTTCTGGTCAAATTAAAAAAATAATAATAATGAATTAAATTAAATTCTTTTTTTTTTCTTTCTTTTTTTTTTTTTTTTAAGGAGAGATTTTTGCTATAGGGCATGTGTGCTCACTGGAGAAACAGAGAGGCAGAAAGTGAGAAATCATCCTCCAGGTTGCATAATCATGCCATAATCCCTTCTCCATTCTCCTCTTGGGAGTTTGGGCATGTATGCACATGTGCCCAGCATGTTTTAAGCCTCAGTACTTGAACTGCAGCTGACTACATAGGAGTCCAGCAATGTAACCATTATGTCACCAGCTGGTTCCTAAATGAAATTCTTTAAAAAAAAAAAAAAAGTTCCATGACACAGGCAAAAAATTGAAACTAGTTTACAGAACTCATTCAGGAATATCTTGTTTAGAACTGCATCAGAGATGTCCATTATTTAGTATATCTAAGAGTTACTAGATGACTACTAATGTATTTAAATCTTTAGAACACCACTTTGATATAGATACATACATTAAACAATTTATTGAAAGTCAGCAGGTAAGTGGTAGGGCAGTCTGGCTCCAGGGTGACCACTTTAAATACGACATCATGAACTGCTGCTCAGCTCCAAGGCAATCTCACTGTAAGTTAATTGGTGCTAGGCAGTAAGGATACAAACATAAATACTTGGAAAGGTTATTTCAGTGAAATGAATCTTTTTTAGCATATTGAGAGGGTGAACTTGTTCAACTTTTAAATTGGTATTATAATCCACGTAAAAATAATTTATATTAAAAAGTGTTTGACATTATATTGCGTACCAATGTGATTGTGTAAGTTTAGAAAATGTTAAGCTAAATGAAAGTACCTCAATGAATTAATGGAAAGTAATTTCTAATTAAAAGATATTTTATTAATACTATGGTTCTGTATTCAGGTATATGTTTGTCACTCTTCTTTAAGTCTCTGGACTCATCTAAAAGGAAACCCCCAGGAGGCCTTCAATATTTGGAGACTGGGGTCCAAGGCAGTGCGGTGACCCAAGGGAAGGAGAAGCCAGGGCTTGAGCCTTTGCCACCCTGCTGCGCCTGCGGCCTCTCCCAATTCAGTGGCTCTCTTCAAGCCCATAACCTTAAGAGATGAGACCTGCTAATTTGGCTGCGAGAGCTAGTTCCCCAGTCAGTACAGAGAACTTTTTTTTTTTTTTTGAGAGATTTTCACTGTAGGGCGCGTTCGCTCGCCAGACAGACAGAGACATAGAGACAGAAAGCGAGAAATCACCCCCCAGGGGGGATGGTCACGCCGCAATCCCTTCTCCTCCATTCTCCTCTCGGGATCTTGGGCACGCACGCACACGCGCCCGGCGTGAGTTTTAAGCCACCGGGTCCGGGACACGAACCACGGTCGACTACGTGGGAGTCCAGCGACATAGCCATTACGCTAACTGCTGGTTCCCAGTACAGAGAACTTTTAAACCCAGTCTGTCACTCTACCTTCAGAATCTCCTCTGTATAAATTTGTCTGGAAACCAGTATAATCTGCTCTAGTTCAGACAGTGCAGATGGCCAGCTATCAACAAGGGCACTTGTGTAAAGACGCAACATACTCTATTGGGCAGGCAGAATTCAGCAGACAGGCTGTGATTTCCCATGACGAGCAGTGACGCTCACAGGCACAGGTTCTAGAGCCCTGCCAGGCTAGGATGCGGTTATCACATGAGAAAACCAACCCAGGGAGCACAGCGACAGGGCGCGACCTCAGTGGCTAGGGACACCTCTTCCCTGAGCAGGGTATCTCTCATGTATTTTTTTGTCTGTTTCCAGCCACCTCTCTCTATTAAGAATTTATTTTCCTGTGAATAAGCATGGAGGACAAAACGACAAAACGCCGGTAACACTCATGAAAACACTTTAGCGCGCCGGAATGAAGAACGCGCTGCTCCTGGGCTTTCATATAAGCGGCTATGCAAATGAAGACTAGAAGTTTGCTCTTTTGATTGGACATAGCGGGAGGAGGCGGTCCCTCTACTACGGCGCTCGTTGGACGAGTAACCTGCTTGTCACTGGCCTCCGGAGTCGAGGATGTTACGGCGCCCAATGAGAAGGCGCAGCCGAGGGGCCCCAAAGAGTTTGTGGAGGCAGTTCCGGTGTGGGACGCTGCGTTTCGGTCGCTCTTTTCCGAGGCTGGAGTTTTAGCAGCAAGTGAACATGTCTGGTCGCGGAAAGCAGGGCGGCAAAGTGAGGGCCAAGGCCAAGTCCCGGTCCTCCCGCGCAGGCCTGCAGTTCCCGGTGGGCCGAGTGCACAGACTGCTGCGGAAGGGGAACTACGCGGAGCGAGTGGGCGCCGGGGCGCCGGTGTACCTGGCGGCGGTGTTGGAGTACCTGACCGCAGAGATCCTGGAGTTGGCTGGCAACGCTGCGCGGGACAACAAGAAGACCAGGATAATCCCTCGCCATCTGCAGCTCGCCATCCGCAACGACGAGGAGCTAAACAAGCTGCTGGGGAAAGTGACCATCGCTCAGGGCGGCGTCCTGCCCAACATCCAGGCCGTGCTGCTTCCGAAGAAGACGGAGAGTCAGAAGGCGAAGAGCAAGTGACCCTGACCTCGCCACAGGGACGCTGGCTTCCCAGGCAAAGGCCCCGTTCGTAACCGTCCCGCTGTCTTTTCGAAAGTGCTGGATGCCGTGGAGGGCTAGCGGGGAGGCGGACGGCCAGGGGCTGGCCAGGCCGCGAGCCAATAAAGTTGTTAAAACCATATAGTCGAGAGAGCTGTGTAGTGGGGGACCTCCCGGAAAACCGAGGCGGGGAGGTGGGCACAGGGAGACCTCTGGCACTGGGGGACCTGAGCTTCCGGACTGTTTTGTTCGTGGGTTGTCTTCTAAGTGTGGGAGGATGAACAAGACCAGGAGAGACGCGGTGTCCTGGAGGTAGGCAGAGTTGGGGTCTCCCCTTGCTCGCTTTAGGGCACAGGAGAGACAGAGTGGGTGCATTATGGCCTCCTCTGAAATTATGTTTACTTGCTCTTCCCAGGCCTTGCTCTCCTGTCCAGTTCGTGGGCGGTCAGGACTGGGTTCCAGGAGGAAAACCATCTGGCTGAGCTGGTCTGGGACAGGAAGTTACTATTCAGAGTGGAATAACTTTCTCTTTAAAGGGTGTCCCTGATGGCTCGGTATCAATTTAAGAGATGCACTTTAGTAGCAGTTGTGTTTTCCTGTTTGGATGTATCAGATATCTTTATGTCCACATTTCTTTAAAATGTAGGGAACATCCAGAAATACATGCAATACAGAAGCATGAGTCACGAGGGTGGAAATCCATTCCCTAACACGTTGCATAACCTTGTAGTGCTGCAGTCAGGAGTTACATATGCTTACCACTTTTAAAGTGACTTTGTCAAATTTCTAGCTTCATAATGGTTTTGTCTTCATTATATTGTACTCCTTTGGAAATCCTTTTGACTTTTTTTTTTAACAACCAGGAAAAGAAAAAAGATACCTTGCCTTTAGGGGTTATTCTTACTGAACAACTCAACAGGTAACCTGGCTTGAGTTCCTTGTGTTCTGCCAAGAGTCTGAGTAATGACCTCATTCCAATAATTCCCACAGGAGTTGTGTGGCTTCATGGCACAATATTTCTTAAGTATATGGGGAAAGGTAAGGCCAAGTGCTGTTTAAAAGGTATGGGGGGGAAACCTATTCCAGATCAGGAGTCCACTTTTCAAAGCTCAGCATTAGTAATTCTATTCTGCCTTTGGTTGATTCTTCCTTGCGTCTGACCTCTTCATTAGGGCCCACAAAAAGACCTATTTGTAGGACCAGCAGTTGGCATAATGGCTATGTCGCTCAACTCCGTCGAGTTCCGGACCCAGTGGCTTAAACTCACGCTGGGTGCGTGTGTGTGCCTGTGTGCCCACGATCCCCAGAGGCGAATGGAGGAGACGGGATTGTGGTGTGGCCATCCCCCCTGGGGTGATTTCTCACTTTCTGTCTCTCTGTCGCTCTGTCTTTCTGGCGAGCGCATGCGCCCTATAGCAAAAAACCTCTCAAAAAAAAAGAAAAATCTGTTTCCTGTCTTTGGATTCATCTTTTCTCTGAGTCAGAGTCAAAGCCTTCTTGAAAAAATGACAGGGGATTTGTCTTCATCCTTACTAGTGGCTGGCCCACTTTCCCATGGGGACCTTATTTCCTCCTGGTTATTTATTGAACACATGTCTCTGTGTGCTCTGTACTGAGGGGCGTATACCTATGAATGAAGCCAACCAGGTTTCAACTAGCAGGGCTCTGTTTTTGTTTGTTTCTCGGTTCCCGAAGATAGGACAAGGGACAACTAAGTTCTATTAGAGATCAGCTTCCATTAGTACTTGTGTCTCTACTGTTTGTGGAATGAATGGTGAGATTATCTTCTCCCTGTGAGGAGCACACACTTCTGTTAGGAGGTGGATTATTGTCTTTCTAGTTCCTGAGAAGAGACCCAACAATGCAACGGACAGGTTTCAGGATGTCCAGTTATTTATTTTACCGTGCTACTTTCCATTGAGAAGTTTTCTTATATGTGAACTAGTCATAACACCTGTTTTAGACGTAGAAATTACTCACTTTCTATGTGCCACCTAGTAGACAATCAATTTAAAAAAGTACTGTCTCCTACAGTGATAATAGGCTTACACTTACAGGTTAAATTACAGGCTGAGTTTTTTTTTTTTTAAATATCCAATTGTTAGAGTTAATTCCCAGTGTTACCACTTGGGGGCGGTGGTACAAAACAGTTTATACATTTATACTCTACACAGGCACACAAATGAAGGGTCCTCAGAAAGTTCAAGGAAAATATGTATTATAAAAAAGCTGCACATGGGTTTCAAAGTTTCTTGCATCAAAATAAACTTAAATTCTGTTTTTTTCCCACACACTTTTGAAGTCTCAAGTATATTTGTATGCATACATATGTGTTTGTATATCAAGTATTTGTTTTAACATTTGAATCTTAATTTCCTGACGATATGAGTTGTCTGAGAGAGTATTACCAAAATGTGAAATAAGAACCAGGGCCATCAAGATGGTTTTAAGAAAACAGAACAAAACACTTGTCTTTCCTTCTGAGGATCCACGGGAGTCTAACCCTGTTTGTTACCTGAAGAGCAAGAGGCAGACTACAAGAACTGCCTCCACCCCTACCTCTCTGCCACTGCCTCAAATACTTCTACCTCCACGTTCAATTAGCTTCTCGCTGATTGAGAGGTTATTTTTCCCTGAATAATTTATTGGCAGTTAAAAATGTACACCTCTGGGGACCAGCAAGTGGCATGTTGGTTAAGGTGCTGGACACTCCCACATGGCCTACCATGGTTTGACTCTCAGACCTGATGGCTTGCTTTTTCACCCCCCCCCCATCTCTCTCTGGTCAAATGAAAATAAATGAATTAGTTAAGTAAATACATAAATAATTCTTTTTAAGAAAAAGAGTATACCTCCAAAATCCATTCAACCTGTGATCCCTGACAACCAGTAGTTCTTGCTAACATGTAACTTAATTTTTTAAAAGAATTATTGATTTAATTTTACTTATTTTTAAAGTTTTGCTATAGGGCACATTGTGCTCACCAGAGAGAGACAGAGAAAGAGAAAGGGAAAGTGAAAAAGCAAGCTACCAGGTCTGGGACTCGAACCATGGTCGACTACATGGGAGTCCAGTGCCTTAACCACCATGCTACCTCATGGTGCCTGTATAAATTTAGAAGGCCAACATTTTTTTAAGCAGGAGACCCTATGGAAAAAGAGGACAAAAATTGGTGGGAACTGAATTCTGTTTTTTGTTGTTATTAAAGAATTATTTAATTTTAGTGTTATTTTTTAAATTTGCTACAGGGCACATGCACTTACCAGAGAGAGACAGAGAGAGAGGGAAAGTGAGAAAGCAAGCCAACAGGTGTGGGACTCACACCGTGGACAGCCTATGAGAGCCCAGTGCCTGGACCACCATGCCACCTGCTGGCTGCTGAGTTCTGTTCTGTTCTTTTGTAAAGAATTTTTTTTATCCAACTTTGTTTATTTATTTATTCATCCTAATTTGACCAGAGAGGGACAGAGTGAATGAGTGAGAGATCGAGAGAGAGATAAAGTGAGAAAGCAAGCTGCCGGGTCTGAGACTCAAACCATGGTCAGCCATGGGGGAGTCCAGTGCCCTTAACCACCGCGCCAGCCCCTGAATTCTGGTTTTTAACAGATTTGTAATCAATAGTTTTATTTACATGCACGCATATACATTTCCTGCAGAGATAAACAATGTAGGGTGGCAGGCTATGACTTGTTTTTCTTGCAGGGCCACTTTTGTCTTTGTGTCTCTGAGAACTAGTCTGCTTAGTTCATCTGCCTGGAGTCGAAAGGTTTAGTTCGCCTAGTATATAGTCAGTGATGATGACAAATTCAGTGGCTGTTTAGTAATGAACAGAAGAGAGAGTAATCAATGGTTAAAGATTGTGAACCTGGATTTGAATGTTTTGTCTCCGAAGATAACCTGGCTTGGGAATCAGTAGCTTGTTAGTGTACCCACGCAGATGAAAAATGAAACATGTCCGTTCAACAGTTTATTGAACAGTACTATGTGTTATTCCTATGATTGGTGACTACCTGGCAAGACACTGTCTATTGTGGAACTCACACATAAGAAGATACTATGACAAATCACTTGTTAGAAAGGGAGATGCTCAGGTTATGGGAACAAGGGTTCTTAAGTCCCTCAGCTGGATAGGAACACTGGCCTGTGGGGAGATTAACACCCGAGATAGGCCTCGATGTGAGTTAGCCTGAGGGGCAGCATGCACGAAGGCATGGGGGCCAAAAAACCACTGGCAGCTGGATTCCATGCTGAATCTAGGAAGAATAATTTGGGAGTCATGACTAAAAATGGCCTGACTGAATAAAATTATCCAGGGAAAATGTATCGATGTATAGTCAAATACATAGAAAATAGCCACAGCCTATAGTGGGTGGGGGAACCTATGAGATTTAATCAATCAGAAGAGGAAGAGGAGCCACTATGGAGATGAAAGGAAAGTGGCCATGAAAGTGTCTCATGACAGAGAATTTTTTACACAATTTGGATCACTGCATCCCTTGATACCCCCTAGTTTGCATAAACTTGGTCATAGAGCCAGAAAATAGTCCTGAAAAGTTACTACTTTTTTTTTTTTTTTGGAGAGGTTTTTGCTTTAGGGTGCGTGTGCTCCCCAGACAGACAGAGAGAGACAGAGAGACAGAAAGTGAGAAATCACCCCCCAGGGGGGATGGCCACGCCGCAATCTCTTCTCCTCCATTCTCCTCTCGGGATCTTGGGCACGCACGCACATGCGCCCGGCGTGAGTTTAAGCCACCGGGTCCAGGACTCGAACCGTGGTCGACTATGTGGGAGTCCAGTGACATAGCCATTACACTAACTGCTGGTCCCTGAATAAAACATTTTTAAAAAAGTTATCTTTGGCCGGCTCTGTGACCTGGCGATTAAGGTAGTCGAATCCTATATGGTCAACCCTGTAGTTTAAGTCTTGGAGCTGGTGACTTGAAATTCATTCTGGGTGTGTGTGCCACGATCCTGAAAGGAGGGAGAGATGGAGGAGAAGGGATTGTGGAGTGACTGTCCCCCATGGGGGATGAGATACTTTCTCCTCTGTCTCTCTGGCTGGTACACATGCCTTCTGGTCAAAAAAAAAAAAAAAAAAAAAAAAAAA